CTTAAAAAACACTCACTTAGTTAAGGGGGAGCTTTGTCTAGAAACAGATACTTGCCCAGTGGTAAAGTTGCAAGTTATCTTTTCGGGCAGAGCTCGTGAATGGAAGCCACTGCCATGTGATCTGAAGAGAATTTCAAAATCATTAAGAAGCACATCTTAAATCATAGCATGAACCACCATTTGACAGTTGCCTACACTAGTTTTTCCTGTTTGCAGACACTTCCCAAGAGTTCGGTGCGTACAAAGTTATTTCCATGAAACTCAATTTTGATCTTTTATTCATCAAGACATATATAAATATACATATCTCTAAATCAATTTCTTTTCTTCGAAAGAAAATGAAAACAAAAAATTGTACTCTAACAAGCAGTGGAAGTCTAGGCAAAACCTTCTCGTCGGATGGTGGGCGTCGTTTCAATTGAGAGACGTCAATTGAAGGCATAAGCGGAGCCACCCCTCCAGTGAGGGCATAAACCTACAAATTCCACCCAGAAGCAAAATCAAGTAAGGAAGTAACCCTCTTTCACTCAGTGCAAGCTAAAATTTTTGAAAAACAAACAATTCAATTTTCCTTTTCTTACCTCGCGTGAAATACCATCGGGTTTTCTCTGGGAGTCTTTCTGGGGACGTGATTTCTTCTCCTGAGTTATTGACAAAGGAGTTTTGGGTAGTCCAAGGATGTCCTTCGCGTCCATTGTAATTTTCCTATTACTCTGCGAAGAAATTTAATTAGGGTTATTGCTATCCATCAAACTCTACAAGTTCTGAAGAAAATATTGGCTTCGTATCGAGAAATTAGACCTTCAATGGATTCAAGGGGGAAAAATATCTAGGGCTTCTTCGAGCGCGAAGATTGGTTTTGAGTATAACAAAAATCAACCGTAAGAATTGGGATCGGATCAATTCCGGGTCAGTGTGACGGGCTTCTATGGACAACCATGAACCGGTTCTTAGGCTATAATTTTAGGTAAAATACCGGATTGGTCACTTTCTTTCACATTTGTATAGTTTTGTTCATTAAATTTAAAAATTAAATTTTAATCATTTATATTATCGATTTATTAGATTTTGGTCATTTATATTATTGATTGTTATATTTTGACCTTTGAATCATCAATTTCGATTAGTTTGTTGATTTGATGTGTTGGTTAAAAGGGGATAAATCATAATATATTTATATTAAAACTTAAAACAAATAAATTATATGTTTATATGGAAAGAGAAATAAAATAAATACTGAAATAAGAAAAATATATAATCCTGAAAGAAACAAGGAGGTTTTAAATGAAAAATGAAATTATGAGATAATTTAGTTTATAAACAAGATTTGGATATTTACTAATAAGTGGGGAGTTGAATTTATTAGAATGAGGAATATAATTATTAAATAATGGAGTATACATACAAGAAAAGAGCTTTTTTTCTTTTCGAGCTTTTAAATTTCAAATTAATAAGTTTAGTAATCTGATATGTAGTTTCAATAATTTCTGGATATAATTTTTCTTTTGATAGAAATAGTAATTTTATTAAAAGTAGAACATATTTATAACTACACCCGTAACTTACATATATAATAAGGATATTTTATTATAATCAATAATACAATAAATTAATCACTTAGTAGTACAAATACCATAAAAGGAAAATGTTAAAAAACTAATAAAATAAACATAAACAAACGGTAAATACGAATAGATCTAATCACATTAGTAAAAGAACCACAAAAGGAGATGAAACTATTGAAAGACTACCGACAACCGTAAATCAAAGCCGAACAACATAAAAATATTATCCACAAACGTAAATTGTGTATTCAAATTAAATACTATGATCCAAAACAGGAAATATCATCATGATAATAAATAAGCGTTATTTTAAACTTTCATGACGATGTTAAATCTAAACATAAGAAAAATGATAAACAAAAACGATGACCAAACGACCAATAACGTAACAAAAGACAGAGAAATATGTGTCATAAAAACAGAGTTATTAAAAATTTAAAATCAAGAAAAAAATAAAGATGTAATATAATAAATAATAAAAAATAATGAATATCAAATTTTTTGATTCGATTTGATTCAAAGTAGAAAAACTCTATTTGATTTAATTCGATTCATAATTTTATAAATTAAACTCGAAAAAAATTCAAATAAAGTTTGATTTATAAAATAAGTGAATAATAACTCGAAGTTTTGAGTAATTAGTAGATTAATTTTTAAGGTTAAGTTGAATCTCTCAATTATGTATAACATATTCATATCATATATGAAATATATATATATAGTTATAGTTATAGTTATAGAAAAATATTTATAATTAAATTTAAACATAAATTTGAACATCTCGACTTGACTTAAAAAAATTTAAATAAAATTTAAATTATAAAATAAGATTCGTTAACTCGATTAACTAAAAATTTTAACTTAAATCGACTCGATCCAAAACACATATCTAACAATAATTAAGAAAATAAAACCATCACTGCTAACGTAAGCGGTGACGGCACTTGTGATAGGAAAACAAGTCCATGTCCATGACCGAGACTACAAATTCTGGTTTTGAACTCCACTCAAACGTTTACTTTCTAGATTTAACACAATTGGTTGCTGCATCTAGAAAACATCATAAGAATAACTGGATTTTCCCATTTACCCTTTTTTTAATTTTAATTTTTTTATCTCCTCGGTTCTTAGAATTTTATCTTGACTAATCCAAACATATTATACATTTGATTTTAGTAGATAAGTCTTTAAACAAAAATTTTCTGCATATACAAAATCTAAAAATAGACACATACTTAAATAATATTTAATTTCTTATCGCTTAAACTAAACCAACCTGTAAGTAAAATTTTAATCTGCTTAGTTACAAGAGTCGAGCCCCGCACCAAATGTTTATTCATGATGACATCATTTTCTTTTAATTATGTTTAATCTAATCCCACTCAACACTGTTAATATTTAATGTAGTGTGTTGAAGAATTTTGTCGTCCAATTACTAAATTTTATTTTCCCTTTTTTTCTTGATTTACGTTACTTCTCATCTTACAGTGAATTATATCTAGCCTTTTCCTTTTCTCAATCTAAGAGAAAAATATTCTATATCTAAGTATCTAATCCTCAAATCATATGGACTGTAATTGTATATTTAATTTGTTTTAAAAATAATAATACCATTTCTAAACAATTTAATACTTAATCCAAATTTCTTTCTACTTATAAATTTAAAAATATTGAATGCTTTTCTTTACGTATAGAAGTTATTAATTTTATTGAAAATAGGAAATATTCAGAATTTCAATAAAGATTTATAATTATAATCGTAAATGAAACATATAATAGAATATTTTCCTATAATTATTACCACAATAAATTATTCACTTAAGATCACACAAAGACTATATAAAGAAAATATTAAAAAAAAACTAACAAAATAAACTCGAACAAAAGGTAGATACAAACAAATTTGACTGTATTGATAAACAAACCAAAAAAGAGGATCAAACGATCGAAAGACCGAATCTAATCATAGTTGAACAACGTGAGAAAACTATCTACGAACGCAAACTATGTACACAAATCCAATACGAGGGTCCAAAGAAGTGAAGATCATCATGAAAAAAATGAGCTTTATCTTGATCATCATGAGAAAACTATCTACGAACGCAAACTATGTACACAGGTGACATACTTATTAATTTTCTTTTAAAATATAAAAATTAAGATTAATGAAAAATATTTTCTTCTTCTCTACAAACTGCTGAAAGATGAAGAGAAGATTGGACATTGTTACTATATGTGAACCCCAGCTCCACGACCCTCCGTATAAGCGAACATGCTTTGTTAGTCAAGTAAGGGGGCTGTTACACGGTTGTGAGTTTTTTATACAGCTGGATAGTTGTTATGTGTAACTGCATGATCTTTTGTGTAATTGCATGGTTTACGTGTGTATAAAAGGCTCAGTCCTTCCATTTAATAAAATAGAGCAGTATTAAAAGTTCAGTATCTGTGGTTATATCTCAACATATTCGTACAAACCTTCAAGAACACGAATGTAACATCCACACAGAGTACACTTCGCAAACAATCATATGTTGACACGCATGATCTTCTAGTATATACCCTCAACTCTTAAGACGTATAGTTAGTATTAATGACATGACAACTCTTAACCGACGCATATATTAGGTATTTTAAATACTGTATCAGATTACAAAAGTAAACGCTGTTGCATGTGCCGAAACCTAAAAAAGAGTTGCAGAAAAGTCAGATACAAGTATGTTCTTTTTTGCAGTTGACTCCGTACGTGATGGCTTTGCAGGCAAGTTTGGTTTAAATTAAACTTTCAAGAGTTGCGGCACTTAGTGCTTCGGTCTTACGCGATATTTTATTTTCTTTCTTTTTTTCTTCCCTCAGATTTTAATCATTCGATTATTTCGTGGTACAAAAAATCATTAGATATAATTGGCCTTATCTGCAATCTCCAAGTTGTATAATATGAACGAGGGCTAACTCCTTGCTCCCAAAGAAAAACATAAATGTGGAAAACTTTGCGACAACACAAATAATACCATCACGAAACGTGTCACGTTTCCTAATCCCATAATATTAATTTATTGGTTTTATACCCGTTATCCCATTATTGTTTTACGACAATTTTGTTTGAACAATAGAGTGAAAAAAAATATAACTCATATAAGGTAAGAGTAAAAATTATTTTTTGAGTAGAATCTTTGTTACAGTATTTAGTAAAAGATTCTCACTTCATTATTCAAGCAATTTCACCTCAAAGATACCCTTGTTGTACATGAAAATGGATGTTGTCCGGGAACTGGAAAAAGGAACAGAATTGGTATATTTTTCAGAGATATACAGTGAAGTTATACTTCTCTATCAACCTGAAACATTTACATTCCAAAAGTCTTCAGATTTTGTACTGTTAGAAACTCTGACGACCAAAGAATGCCCAAAATTATAAAACTTTATAGCTAAAGTAAGCTAATTCAAGTCATCCTCATAAAGCTGCTGTCTTAGGAACCAAATGTTCTCTTCAGTCCACACACTCTCCATCGAGTCTCCACCATCTATATTCCATGTGTCCCCTAAATTTTCCGAGCTTAAACCCGACCCGATTTGAAAGCTAATCAGGTTGCTCGAAACGTGCCGCGGGTTGTAACATTCTGTCAAGTCTGAAACAGAAGCGACTTGAGCGTCCTGGGAGTCCGATGAAGTGCCTGATAATTCCGGCACGACACTCGGGCCGACTTGGACCGATCCACTTGTATTTCCGTAGGTGATTTGATCGGAGTTCATGTTGCTGATACGATCCATGTAGGCGGTGGTGGTGGAGGGTTGACCCGGGTGGGATTCAGATGATGCACAGATTCGTTCGATTAGACGAGGAATCCAAACGTAACGCATGGCGTCCCTAAATTGTTTGCTGTTAACGTCACATTTAAGCTGCTTTGCCTGTTTCTGGACTCTTGTTCTCCAATAATTCTTTATCTCGTTGTCTGTCCTTCCAGGCAAAAGTTGTGCGATTTTCGACCATCTTCAGAACCAGACAGCAAGTCAGATAAAACCAATCAAGTAATGAAATCGAAACGAAAGCAAAAAGGGGGATCAAAGTAAAGACCTGTTGCCCCATCGAGAATGGAGTTGAAGGATGAGTAGCTGCTCTTGGAGACTGATGTTCCCACGTCTCACTTGGGGTCTCAAATAGTTCAGCCACCTTAATCTGCAGCTTTTGCCGGTTCTTTTCAAACCTGATAACCGAGCAACTGAACTCCATCGCCCTTCACCATGAATATTGACAAACGCCTTGAGCGTGAAGTCCTCTTCTTCTGTCCACGGTCCTTTCCTTACGTCCATCTCTTCTTCACTTGGTGGAGTTTCAGAAATAACGAAACAACTCTCGTAAACATCCATTATGTTAAAGATGAAGAACCAAAGGAGAGAGAGAAAGATTTGATTTTTGATTTCGGGTTTATTGTTGAAGATACAAAGGATGACTTACAAGGAGAATAGAGCAGATGGGGCTTATATAGAGAGCGGGGATTAGGGGAGTTGGATTGACTACAAACAAAAGCAAACAATGATTTCTTATTATTCTTTTTTATCATGATAAAGAATGTAAAACAGGGGCATGTATGTGATTAAAAGTAGAATTGGCAACGACCATTTTCTGAATTTTCTATTCAGCTTTTGACTGTCTGACTTTTCCATATCCATATTGGTCGCGTACACGCAGAATTGGACAAAATATTTGAATATGAACAATGAAGACCGGAGCATTAGTCTACGAGGAGAAAACAAGTTTTCCTCAACACAAGTTGTCTTTGTTTTATCATTACATACCCCAATATTTTCAACGTGTTCTGCTGTGGTTACACATAGGGAGGGTAATTTAATCCGAAATCGGCGGAATTCGACCTGACATCATTCGGTAGAATATTTTTTTTTTAAAAAAAGGTTCAAATTGAGTCGGGTTGGATTTCATAACGGAGTAAGATTTAGTTGGATTCGGGTGGAATGTGAATTTTTTTTGACTCGACCTAACCCGAGGGTAATAATATAAGTTCTTCAAATAAATTTATGGATAATTGCTATAAAATCCATTCTCTATTGTTTTTTAATTAAGTCTTTATTTTATATCCGGTCGAAATTATACTCTAAAATTTAGGTCAGGTCGAAATCGGGTGGATGATATATATTTTTCGGGTCGGGTCAAGTTGATAAAAAATATGACCTAACCCGACCCGTTGCCATCCCTAGTTACACAAACCAAACGATCTTCGTTGTTATCTCTAGAAATCTTGGATTCGAACACAAAATATATAAAAATATACGAACATTTATTGTCAAATAATTAAAATTATTTTAAGCAATTATTACCTAGTGTAACCATCCTCTTTCAGTCTAAAACAAGTTTTGTTGAAACTGTCTACCAGTGATGGATTGATAACTGAAGAGACGGGGAAGAAGATTGATGCAATTTTACTTCTTTTTTTTTCTAATTTTTCACATTATAAAAACTACGTAATTCGGGGATAATACATATTTCTAATTTCTCTCTCTCTTTTTTCATTTTATGAATTAAAAGGAAAATAAATTATTAAATCATTCTTTTCACTGCCTATAAGTTAAGAAATCTGGGCAATAAGATTTGATAGAATATTTTGTAGGCTCAGCCAACTCACACTAAGCTAAATGCTGACTGTAGTGTAGATGAAAAACGAGAAGCAGTGGTCCTAGACGTAAACGCTTGAATCTTGTTCCTGGCATCTGAATTTAGAACAGAAAAAGGAAAAAAAAAAAGGCAGCTTGTAAGATCATAGAAATGATATTAACTTCAGCTGAGAATAAGAGTAGCTGAGCCTGGACTTGAGATTCAAGAGTCCTGTCCAACAATAGATTTAGAAATATTTTTTAAGGAATACACTAAATATTAATGACATAAATTTAACAACATCAGTAAAATAAATAATTAATATAAAAAACGGATTTCAAGATAGAAACATGTCCACCCTATACAGCTCCTACATCCTCCACTAGCCCTGCTTAATCCACCAAAACCAGTCTGCTAACAACCATTATATATGAGAAATGGAGGAATGTTGTACCTTTACGGCATTTGGTAAATCCGATGATGTTGGCAATAGCAAGGCTAAAACAAACTGCCACAACTAGGAGATAATCAACTTCAAGTCTTACCATTGAAAATATTCCAAAGATGCCCCAAGCAACAGCCTGATACAGAACCAAAAAAAAAAAGGGTAAGAAATGTTTAACTTGTATATCAGAGTGAAAACTTTGTAAATCATTACTCAATAACTAAACCTCTACACGACCAGAATGCACTGCAGATTCATCAGCAAGTCCCATCCAATACATTTTCCTAATATTTACTTACATTAAGATACAATGTCCACCAAAATAGCCAGGAATCCTTTTGGTTAATACGAGCTAATGACTGCACAGAGGGCGACAAAGATGTCAAACAAGAGAAATTGCAAATCAAGAGATAGGATAACCAAATGTTACATTACTGTAAATAACTAACCTCTTGGTCAAGGAACTCAAATCTCCATATGCTCTCACCTTGCTCGTTTATTTCATTCCACCACCTAAGCCCGACTAAGATACGACCGCTAACGTTCTTGATGACCCAAAAATCGAGAGCAGCGAGCACGACGGTGATCACGAAGATGATAACGAAGCTATTGGCAAAGAGTGTAGAAAGAATGTAAAATGCCAAAGCTGAAGCCTGCCAAAAAGGTAGACAGAAAGCAGTTATACTAGTGCTAAATCACACAATTCTAGAAACAGCAAAACCATTAGAGCCATCACCTTGAAGAGAACGTGGAAGAAGCATGTTTTGGGGTTGGCATAGTTTTCTTGAAAACAAATACGTAAATACCAAGAATATGAGAACTTTTACCTGGCTTAGATCCATGACTGAGATGAAGATTCAATGAAAATTGTAACAGACCTTTGTTTACGAACCTTTCATGGATTATAGAGGAACCAGGAATTTTGATAGAACAAGTTTGTAGGAAGGATCAGGGTCTATATCCTTCTTCTCTTCACGCTCCTATAAAATTTCCATCCTTCTCGCACGAAACGTTGTTTGTTTTTCAACAAAATGGACCTTGTTGGGGCTAGGGGCCTTTGCTTTTAGGCTAATAATAAACCTTAGATTAAATTATTCGAAGTTCATCTTAGGTCTGAGCCACAATACTAATAAATTTTAGGTCTTAATTTTGGTCAAACAACTATTTTAGGCCCAAAACATGAAAAAAACCAGAATAATTCAAAGCAGGGGAAAGGAAAGAATAAAATAATTTCCCATTCAATAAATTTTGGCGAGATATTAGAGTATGTGAACTTAGAAATAGAAGAATGACAACACCGAGTACTTGAAATTTCGAAGTATTATTCGCATGCTTATGATGCAAAATGGCGAGTAATGCTATTTGAACTCAACTATGATTATGATGTATGTATTTGATGAAATATGGGTAAAATTAATATTACGATGCACTATTGACATGTCATTGCATGTTATATATGTTGCATATAGTTCAAGTCAAATTTAATGAAAGATGGAGTATGTTTGAATTATCATTTTGATCGTTTGAAGTATATAGTATCAGTACTAAATAAGCAGTATCGATACCATACATTTATTGAGAAATTTTAAAACTATTTTTGGTATCCATAATGGTATAAAGTATTGATCTATCTCAGCGGTATCGATATCGAATGTTTGAGTATCGATACTCATTAGAGGGATTTAAATCCTAAATCCTTAAATAGTATCAATATTAAGTAATGATATATGTACCATATTTAGCTTCAAAGTCTGAAAAAATAATTCAATATTGATAATGTTCATCAGATGTTAGTATTGTTCTAAGTAGTATCGATACTATATATAGATATCAGTAGGGATGAAACTTTGAAATTATGCAATTTAGTCCATGATTGATTGATGATGATGATTGAATGTTTTCAAAGTATGTTGAACAATCCAAATTGATGTTTAATGTACATGTATGAAAGTGTAATGATCATTTAGTCCCTAAAATTCATAAATTGATTAATTAATATCCAATCATCAAATTAGGTTAAATGTTATTGTTTTCAATTAAATGTGTAACATAGTCGATTCAATTCCCGAACAGACTGGGTTGAGGGTGTTATAACTCCACTACTTCCGCTTCTAACGACCTCTATATTACTTTTTTTTCCACCGAAAGTGTCAACGCGAAACCTTACAACCTCACTCTGATCACCACTGACTGAGTCTTCTAACTCTTGATTTGTTTCTTCCTTCAGAGCCACCTCAGGGTACAACAACTCCTCTGGGGGACCATCGTCGAGTCTAAAGTTCTTAGCAAAGCCCAGTGGCGATCACTTGTAGTCTGACCACAATCTACGAAGGTAGTTGCACAATGAGAGCAATGTGTCTTCCTCCTTCGCTTGCATCCCCAACAACACTTTCTCTAGAAGATATGTACCTCTATAGGGGCCATACATTCCTACAATCTTGAATACTCAAAGGTCACTAGCCTCCACTCACACCATCTCCAATCCTGAACCTATTAGGGCTATCTCCCCTAAAACAAAATTTAAAGACGTTCTAAATAGAAATTTCCTTTGGAACCACCCACCGTTATTCAACAAAGCAAATTGCTCCTCCCCTCCCCTTCTATTCAAGGGATAATAGTCCTCACCATCTAACCACGTTTACTCCATTGTAGAGGAAAGTCAAAATCACCGGATAACTTATGGGTCACCTTAATGAATTTGGAGCAATTAGTTTTTGCTTGTTGATTCAATCTACAATGGGCTCACAAATCTCAAACCCATTTGCATGCCTTTGCATAACATTAGAAGGTCTAAGCCACATCACTCAGAGTGAAAAAATTATGTAGCATGGCAACCAAAGGCGCCCATTTTTTCCATCTGTAGAAGATAAGGTAGCGTTGATGAGGATCCACTAGGAAAACTCCAGTCAACTGACCCATAGCCACTGTCACGGGGCTAGACTTCTGCTAGTTGATTCGTGCGGCACTTAGATGATTTCCAGGTCGAAATGACGCCTAAGTCAGCCTTATCCACGTCCTTGTGAGTCACTGGCTCACTAAGCGACGAACAAACCCTCAAGGGTTAAATAACAATGCGAAAACAACACTTAATCGGGGCTAATCCAAGCCACCTGGGTTGAAGCGGATCTCTGAAGCACGAGCACTGTGGGAACTTTCTAAGTCACCAAAACTTGAATCACTTTGGCACTTTGAAAGAACTTGGAAAAGAACACTCTCGAGGCTGTCTCAGCCCTCACGATTGGTAACGCAAGCCACAAAGGCTTAAACACAAAGGAGAACAAGCCGACAAGGCTAGAAAGCTAGCAACCAAGAAAGCTAGAAAAAATAAACTCAGAGAGAGTAAGAGTAAATGCCTGAGTTTTATTACTCTGAAGAGAATGAATGAAGTGGATGATTACAAATGAGGGGAGGAGCTCTCTATTTATAGTTGAGGCCCTCAAGATCCAACGGTCTAGATCAAAGTACATCGACGGCTTAGAATGAATCCTACCTTAACAAGAATTCTATCTCTAAGGTATTTGAATTCAAATAAAATATTATCCATAATTAAATCCTTAATTGTTGGATAATAATATCCTTTCTATAATCTTTCAAGGAACGGGTCAGGTCTGATGGTTCTGGGCAAGTCCAACACTCTGTATTATTCTTCTACAGAAATCTGCGCACACATGTCTCGGACCGAATCCACGAGCCTCGACAAAATTGCCCCCATCGAACATATAACACCCTTGTCGCTTCTCTCGGACGCCTCGGACTTGATCTTTCACGAACCCGAGCCTTTACGGACTCGTAAGCATTCTCCAAGAACCATGCCAACTCGCCATGCCCAACAAGCCCAAAATCTGCGCAATAGAACCCTTTCTGTGAACCTTTGCGCCAATGTCCATGGACCCAAAAGTTTAGTTCGTGACACACCCTGTAAGTATTCAACACGCCTTTCACAAAGTTGTGCATTGAGAGATGGAACCCATCCTCTAAAGCAGATAGAGGAAGATAGAATCAGTCCCGATCTCCTCTGGCGACTTCGCTGCAATCACTCAGGCAACACGACCTTGAGGGAATGTCAAACTAACTTTTCTCACATTAAAATGCAACTCAACAATAGATTATTGGCCTCATTTTGATCAGTCTTACGCACGAAGGAGCCCCTATCCACTAGGGATGGTCGGTTCACTTTCATCATCTTCTCCAAATTCTTCATTGTCTTCGCGACACTCTTCATCATCATTGTAACAAGAAATTTCAGAGAAATAATAAAATTTCACAGAGATCAAGGCTGATCGAAAATCAAAGACAAAAGAAGAAGATATTATGGATTTTGTCCAACTCTTTAAATAGTAGACTCGCTAAATGTAATAAACGACTTCCTAGGCAAGTCTTAGGGTCAAACTATTTTATGATAAGGACATATATATAGAATTTTAAAAATAGAAGTCTAAAAATTTTAGTATTGTTTTTTTAACAAAATGGCTATACAAATTTTCCTTTTTTTTTTCTTGCCTTAATTCAGTGAACTAATTTTAGCAGTTGGCCTACTGGGTGATTAAGTGCATTTATCCATGATTTATGACATTCGCACGACTAAAGAGAGACAAGTGTTGTACATCGTCTGTATTTCTTCGCCTATGAAAGTATTGGAAGACAAGTGTTGTACTTCCTCCAAATCTACTCTTCAAGTTGTGTCTATATTGTCATTTCTTTGTTGATTGAATTTTTTAGAGACTCATGTATTTTAATTAATTATAATTTTTTGATATAACCTTTGACAGATTCGTGTAATTTTTTAGAATTAAATTCATTGTCAAGCGATTATATCTTTATGTCCCGCCAACTTATAAATAATTATCATGACTTTAGATCTGACACCAACACTAAAAGTCAATATAAAATCCCTCGCACAAGATCAAGAGAAAACTTTCTCTTCTCCTCTTCTTCTCTCTTTGTTGGGAGAGAGTGCACACCGTCTATTACCTAAAATCAGCCTTCTACCATTAAATTATCAATTATGACTCTCTAATCAAATTAAAAGAGACTAACCGTTTTAACAGTCATAATTTAAATTGTACCATCAGTAAGAATAATAAGTGGAATAAAGTTGCATTGTTGAATCACAATATCAATACTTATACCTTAATACAAAAGAAGGTTTAAATTTAGAAGGTGGGAATTTTTATGTTTAAAGGATTTATATCCCACAATTGGTCCTCTAACAAATAGACCACTACGATAATCGATTTGGATATGTTTACTGCTGTTTGTCTCTTTATCAATTCATTTCCTCCTTTTTCTTAATAAATAAGCTACTTCGAGATATTTGTAGTAATGATTCGTTTCGACATTAGTAATTTGTATTTTATACATTAACAAATATACTCGTATCATATTATTTTTATATTATAATTGAATAATTTATATTTATTTTTTTAAAAATACAGAATTAAAATTTTGAGATTTAAATAATTATGTTTTCTAAAATCAGTTGAAAATGTCTCGTGGGTGATAAAAATTCATAGTTAAAAAAATTTATTCTACAAAAAAAGTTATTTGATTAAATATCATAGTTAAAAAGTTTAATTAAATATAAAAATTAAGTGATAAAAATAAATATTATTTTTTAGAGTATTTATATTTAAATAATTATGTTTGCATGATATATATTATTATAAATTAAAAAAAGTTAAATAAATATTATATTATAATGACCTTATTCTATAAAAAAAACTAAGAAAACATATTTTAATTTGTCTTCGATTAAAGTCACCTCTCTCGAGATTTACAATGTTGAAGCATGGCAGAGGTCCAACTTGGAACTATAGACTTCCAGCCAACATTTTTTCTCATAATGTTTAACAAAGACAGGAGAAATGCACGTCATATATATAAGACATTCTTTCCCTTAAATTGATATTCTTTTCCATTCCACAACTCATTTGATGGGTTAATATAAGCCGGTTGATTTAAATATATATATATATATATA